GAGTGAGCTGGAATCTTCTGCTAAGGGGGGGAAAAAGCCACGTCGCTGAGAATTTTGCTTGACCAAGGCTGCCCCAAAGGTTAATTCTTGGGAGGAGGTTGCTTTTTTCCCCTCCCTTTTTGCTCAGGGGAGTAGCCCTGAGTCCCTGATGCTCTTGTTCAAGATAAAGCTGTAGTTGTGCTGCATCGGCTTATTCTGTAGCTGGAGGCTTTTCTGAATGGGTTTTGTTTTTCCTTTCTAGACTTAAGCAGAAAGGCATGTTAAATGCTTTTTTATGACTCTGCAGCCATAAGCTGCAGGCATCTGATATTAAACCAAATGGAGACACGGGGGGAAGTGGGTTTTCAGAAATAATCCCTGTAAAAGCAAAGGCTGAGGCGCACGGAGCTTGAGTGCCTGTAACTCGACTTTCCAGCCAGTGCCAACTGAACGGGGGAGACTTCATCACGCCGGCCAAGATCGGAGGAGTTCAGAGCAAGGCAGCGCGCAGCCCCCTCGCAAAGGGAGACGGAGCTGAGCGCTGCCTGCGTGCGGTTCGCAGGAAGGGAATTTCCACTCAGTTTTGTTTTTACTGACAATAGTGCGAAGTGCCAGATGAAATTATCTTTGGGTGAAGATGAGGCTGAGTCCTGCTTCATAAACACAGCATCCCGACTTGATTTTAACCTCGCCGTGGCTTCTATTAATGTGACATCATCCAGGGGCCAAGCTATTCTTTCTCTGAACTGCTGCTTCTGCCTTCAGCGTCGCTCGTTCCTGTGTAGGATAATCTCCTTCTTCCTGTGTGAATTAGGAGGAGCAGCAGCAGAGGGGCCCCTAGACCATCCCGACTCCAAACAAAACACCACTGCAAATAACCCTCTCTTCCCTCCCCTCCCCTGTTTTCTCTTCGCCGCTGCGGGACAAATGTTTTTATCTCGGAGAGTGCTGGAATAGCCAGTAACTGTGCGGAAGGAAGTTGGCCCACCAAAATCCATTTCCAGGATAATTACCTGGGGAAGGTAAG